GATTAGGTCAAGGAGGAACTAGATCTGAAGAGGCTTCCCAGGAGCCCTGGCTCGACACTAAGGCAGCTTCCAGGCCCTTACCTTCTCCATAAACCCCCTCAGATCTCAAGGACTAGCCACATCCCAGCATCCCAGCTCCTTTACAATCTCAGGCTTCTCAAGTCACCCCTGCAATTTGAAAATTCTTGAACCTACTGCTTGCCCCCACCCATTTGCTGTGTTCAATGGAAGAATTACATCCTTCTACAAGCCTGGGCCAAGAAACCACTCCTAAGAGACTTCAACTAAGAAAAATCGGGAAACAACTGACAAGAAAGCCACAACCTCCAGACTCTTCCTCTTATTCCAAGCCTGCTAAGCCCAAACCACCACCATCTCCCTCCTATTCATGCCCTAGCCTCCTCTTTACCATCCTCCGTCTACTTCTGCCTCCCTCCAAACCCAGCTGATGCTGCTAAAGCCCAGAGCTAAGCATGCACCTGCTGAACACTCCTGCTGAACCCCTTTTAATGGCTCTCCATTTCTCTCTGGAGGAGGTCCAAATTCCTTTACCCTGACATTCAAGGCCCTACAGGATCTGTCAGTCTGGATAGCCTCCTCTTCCTCCACTCCCTTCCTCACACCCTAAACTCAGAGAAAGCTGCATTCATTTCCAGGCAATTCTCCAGGCAAGTGATTTCATCCCTCTATGGGTTAGCTCACACAGCTACTCACCAGAAATGCCCTTCCTCCACCTCACACCCACATATGCTGATCACTCATAAACTGCCAGTACCCGCTCCTCCAGGAATTCTTTCCTGACCACCCTGAGAGAAGTGACCACTGACTCCACGGATCCTGAAGAGACACTATCTTAGCACCTATGACCCCCTGGTGATCTGGTAGGTTGAGGCAGCTGTCTCCCCACTAGACTCAGAGTCCCCTTGAACCACTGCGTAGAGCAGTATTAAGGGAGGGAGAGAGGAGGAAACAGAAGGCAGCTCTCATCCAGATGGGAGAAACGATACAAGTGCATTATCAACAACTTTATGCCAATAAATTTGACAACTTAGATAAACTGGACAGATTCCTTGAAAGAAACCAACATAAACTACCAGAATACATTCGAGAAAAAAGCAGGTCATCTAAATTACCCTTAAAGACACTAAAAGTGCAGTTAAAACCTTTCTATAAAACCTAGTTTCTCTGGTGAATGGTACCAAACATTTAAATAGGAAATAATACCAATTCCATATAAATGCGATGGGACAGGAGAGGAGTTCCTAACATCTACTGAGTGCCCACTGTGGACCACATCCTATTCTAGGCAACAGACAGGCCAGGCTCTACCCAGAGTCCTGAGACAAGGCTTGCCAAAGGAAAATCATACCCTATGAAGCCTCAGAGAACATAAGCACTGGAGACCCTCAGTTCTGGGATGGTGCACAGGTTACCTCTCTTTCCCACTGTATCAGTGGTAATCAGTTCTAGCTCCTTTCTGCTGAACCCAGACAAGACTTCCCAAGACTTCCCAATCCTTCCAAATACGGGACTCCCAGTTACCACCAAGGAAACTGACACTCAAAATGAAAGCTATTGGTCATCTCTGGCCTAGTCTACTCCCAACCAATATGGAAACCAAGGCCTAGAGAAGGCAAGGGTCTTAGGGCCAGAGACTTGTCACAGAGCAGACGGGCTTTTAGAACCTGACTTTTAAATAGTCTGTATCAGAGACAGCATTTAGATTTTGTCTCCCCCACAGGCTGGTGAGCTCCTTCAGGGGAAGCCCTGGGTCTGGTGTAGCTTCTGACCCAGTGTTCAGCACACCAGGTACATGGTAGGTATCTGTACATGTTTCTTGGTTTAGAGAGGAAAAAATGGAGTACATGAGTTAGATGGATGGCTCAGGTATTAGCTCCTAAAGCCAGGAGATGTTTCAAGCTTCTAACACTCAGAGATACTCCTTTCTCAGAATGACCCATACTGAGAACCAAAATGGAGACATTCTCAGCCTAAAGGTGAAGGGAAAAGGGGAGTATCAGTGTGGATTAGAAATGTGCATACAGCAGAAATGTTACCACCTATAGATTAAGCTTGCAAACAGCAAAAAAGAAAAGAGCTGTTCTCATCAACCAAAAAATGACAATTAGATTAGTTTCCACTGTTTCAAACTGCATGACTGGTTATAAATATCAAAGTAATAAGGCATGGGGGGGGGCAGTCTCTTATATCCATGTCATTTATGTGGTGATCTTGTTATTTAACCTTACTGTTAAAATATGACTGATATACTTAAGCTTTTAGGGACTAATACTGCAGAGCTGGCTTTTGTAAAGTATATTTTAGAAATGCACCAGTGGCATTTAAATAGATATAAAATGTAAAAATAAAACTGAGAGAGAACTGAGATTGGGGACCCTAAGAAAGCCCAAGATCTCCCAGGGACCCAGAGCCTGTTTGCTTCTGTGGCCTCTGGGAAACTCCTTTGGGGACATAAAGGCAGCCTAGCAGGATCCGGGGCTGGGGCTCAGCTCAGCAGCTTTGCTGGCCATGGCATTCTCAGTCAGCCCCCGCCACCTCCCTGTGCCTGTTCTGGGCCATAAGCCAGACACATTCCTCAGGCCCCCATGGCTTCCGGAACTTGGAGTTTGAGGAAAGGGATGAGCAAAGCAGAAACCTCCTACGACAGATGACAAAAGGCAGATAGGGCACAACCAGAGCAGGAGGCCTGTTACAACCAATGGGTAAACAGAGGCCCAGAGAAGGCAAAGATGTCATCTAACACCACACAGTCAGGGGATAGTGGAGGGAAATCAAGGCTCCCTCTCAAAACTTTTCTCTGATCCTTGCTGGAAGCTTTATGCTGCATACATAAAGGCCCAGTCCACTTTCAACAGTGGATGGGTCTTAGGATTTTAGGGTCCTTGCATGCCAGAAGAAACTGGAGTTGAGAGCTCTCCAGGTTCCTCAGGAAAGAATCTTAAAGAATCTTAGCTCGCCTTTTCCCAATCCCTGCTCTTCTCCTTCCCTCATCACTCACTGGGTGGCAGAGCCTTTGAGGTACCTTTTGCCTGTTCACACAACCAAACAAAGCAGAAGTTAATCCCTATTTTACAGATGAAGAAACAAAGGCTAAGAGAAATGAAGTGACTTGTCCAAGGCCACAGAGCTAGTGAGTGGGAAAGGGGAAGCAAAAACCAGGTCTGTCTGGCTCTGCACCTGCTCCCACCTCACCACCCAATGGCATCTCAAGACAGGTCCCAAGTTCTGTTTGTTTTTAACCCTGCCCACCTCCCAGCCCCCACTGCATGAAGCCTGGGGGAGGCAGGGAGGAACTGCACACCCTTGGGGTCACGAGTGCTCACCTTCCAGCACCACCTCTTGGCCTGTCTTCTTCAGGATCTGGACTGCCTCATCATGGGTGGCCGAGGAAAGGTCTTCTCCATTCACAGACAGGATGGCATCCCCCACAAAGAGGGCCTCTGTCTGGTCAGCTGCCAGGCCCTTGAAGATCTTGGAAATAAGAATAGGCATCTTGTTCTCCCGGCCCCCTGCACAGGCACAGAAAGAGAAAGAAACTGAGGCAGATACTCCAATGCTGGGGCACAATTATTTCTGAAGGCCTCCCATGGTACCTTGCTATCGCTATGGCCCCAAAGGACCTCTCTGGCAACAAGAAAGTTTACGATCTAGGACCCAGACTGGAAATCAAGGCCAATAACATCTAGAGATTTCAGCAGTCTATCTGAATTGAATTTCAGATGCAAAAAAAAAAAAAAGGTAATACCTTTTACAGAATTGCTTTATTGCTAAACTCTTGAATGTCCTTTTACAGTAAGAAATAGTAATAATGGATCACATTAGTTCCATGTACCAAGTGCCAAGCACTGTGCTAAATACTTTCACTGTTGTCTCACTCATCTTTAAAACACCCCCAATCACACAGGCATGCTCAATTTCTTATCAGGAAAACTCAAGTATGGAGAAAAGACCCTTGCCCAAGGTCATCCAGCTAGTTAGTGGCAAAGTCAGTATTTGAACCGAGGTCTCCTGGCTCCAGAACCATTGGGGACCCTAAGAAAGCCCAAGATCTCCCAGGGACCCAGAGCCTGTTTGCTTCTGTGGCCTCTGGGAAACTCCTTTGGGGACATAAAGGCAGCCTAGCAGGATCCGGGGCTGGGGCTCAGCTCAGCAGCTTTGCTGGCCATGGCATTCTCAGTCAGCCCCCGCCACCTCCCTGTGCCTGTTCTGGGCCATAAGCCAGACACATTCCTCAGGCCCCCATGGCTTCCGGAACTTGGAGTTTGAGGAAAGGGATGAGCAAAGCAGAAACCTCCTACGACAGATGACAAAAGGCAGATAGGGCACAACCAGAGCAGGAGGCCTGTTACAACCAATGGGTAAACAGAGGCCCAGAGAAGGCAAAGATGTCATCTAACACCACACAGTCAGGGGATAGTGGAGGGAAATCAAGGCTCCCTCTCAAAACTTTTCTCTGATCCTTGCTGGAAGCTTTATGCTGCATACATAAAGGCCCAGTCCACTTTCAACAGTGGATGGGTCTTAGGATTTTAGGGTCCTTGCATGCCAGAAGAAACTGGAGTTGAGAGCTCTCCAGGTTCCTCAGGAAAGAATCTTAAAGAATCTTAGCTCGCCTTTTCCCAATCCCTGCTCTTCTCCTTCCCTCATCACTCACTGGGTGGCAGAGCCTTTGAGGTACCTTTTGCCTGTTCACACAACCAAACAAAGCAGAAGTTAATCCCTATTTTACAGATGAAGAAACAAAGGCTAAGAGAAATGAAGTGACTTGTCCAAGGCCACAGAGCTAGTGAGTGGGAAAGGGGAAGCAAAAACCAGGTCTGTCTGGCTCTGCACCTGCTCCCACCTCACCACCCAATGGCATCTCAAGACAGGTCCCAAGTTCTGTTTGTTTTTAACCCTGCCCACCTCCCAGCCCCCACTGCATGAAGCCTGGGGGAGGCAGGGAGGAACTGCACACCCTTGGGGTCACGAGTGCTCACCTTCCAGCACCACCTCTTGGCCTGTCTTCTTCAGGATCTGGACTGCCTCATCATGGGTGGCCGAGGAAAGGTCTTCTCCATTCACAGACAGGATGGCATCCCCCACAAAGAGGGCCTCTGTCTGGTCAGCTGCCAGGCCCTTGAAGATCTTGGAAATAAGAATAGGCATCTTGTTCTCCCGGCCCCCTGCACAGGCACAGAAAGAGAAAGAAACTGAGGCAGATACTCCAATGCTGGGGCACAATTATTTCTGAAGGCCTCCCATGGTACCTTGCTATCGCTATGGCCCCAAAGGACCTCTCTGGCAACAAGAAAGTTTACGATCTAGGACCCAGACTGGAAATCAAGGCCAATAACATCTAGAGATTTCAGCAGTCTATCTGAATTGAATTTCAGATGCAAAAAAAAAAAAAGGTAGTACCTTTTACAGAATTGCTTTATTGCTAAACTCTTGAATGTCCTTTTACAGTAAGAAATAGTAATAATGGATCACATTAGTTCCATGTACCAAGTGCCAAGCACTGTGCTAAATACTTTCACTGTTGTCTCACTCATCTTTAAAACACCCCCAATCACACAGGCATGCTCAATTTCTTATCAGGAAAACTCAAGTATGGAGAAAAGACCCTTGCCCAAGGTCATCCAGCTAGTTAGTGGCAAAGTCAGTATTTGAACCGAGGTCTCCTGGCTCCAGAACCAACACTTTCAACGCTATGGTAGACTACACGTCAGTCCTTCAGATATCACACTTGTCCAAGGCCACAGAGCTAGTAAGTGGGAGAGGGGAAGCATATTTAAGAGTATTTAAGATGAGGAACTAGCAGCGAGAGAAGGAGATCATTTTTCCAAGGTCACACAACAAAGTGGTGACAGAGGCAGGACTGGGACACCTCTCCTGACTCTCACACAGGCCTAAAAGTTTGCCCACTGCACTGCACAGAGCTTGAGGCCTAGGAAAGGAAACGGTTTCTATTTATATCTGCTGTCCTCCACCTGAAATTGGGGACTTCAGGTCAGTTTGAAGCTATGGTCATTCCAGGCTCCTCAGGCTGAACTAGACCCTAGGGGGAGGTTACCATGGCAACAGGAGCCCAGTCTCTATCCATGAAGAAGTGAATGGACCTAGTGCTTCCCCTGATACCTCCTAAAAGTATCTTTACCCACCACCTGAAAGTATGGAGCTGGGGAGTAACTTCACGTGACTGTGAAAAGTCCCTGCCCCTCTCCAAGTCTCAGTTTGTCCATCTGTAAATGGGAACTCTATACGAACTAAGTTATTTCCTGTTTTGACACGCTACATGTACAATTTTTGGACTGATCTGTTGCCTTATTCCATTCTGGAGTTTAGGGGCAAAACTAGTGCCTAACTCCCTGGCTTCTCCATTTCCCCTTTTAGACTCCTGTGGTTGGCTGCCTGGGTATTTGCCCTTCCACAGGAAATCACCAACTCCCTGGCATGTTTTCTTGTGGCCTAATAATGGAGGTTCAAATCCCAGCTCTGCCACTCACTGACTGTGTGAGCCTGGGAAAACTGTTTTACATTTCTGAGTCTCAGTTTCTTCACCTGCAAAATTATGCTCCCTACTTTTTACCACTTGTTGCCAGGATGAAATGAACTGTGAAACCTAAAGTACTGGCACAGCATTCGGCACACAGTGGTAGCTGGATCATCACCATCCCCACCCCCTCACCCAGAGGGTCTGGAGACACCAGTGAACAGAAACGCAGCACCAGGGAGAGAAAACAATGCATGTTCAGGGTGATACAAGGACTGACACCCTTTCCCAAGGCAGCTGACACTCTGCTGGGGACTGGGAACCTGAAAGGCAGATGGGTAGGAATGGTGAACCCATCAGTTTTTCCTCTCATCTAACAGCAGTAATTAACCAGGCACCTACTAATGTGGGGCAGGGTGAGTACTTTAGATTCTTGGTATGGAAACATCACAACTGTATCATTAGCCTCACTACACAGTTGAGTAAACTGAGGCCCAGAGATGGGAAGTGACTTGACTTAGTTCACACACTGATCCTGGACTCAAACACAGTCTGGCTGCCCCCTAAAGAAAGCTGTCAGTATTGAGGGCTGAGAGTTCTCAGAGAGGAGCAGCAACTCTATGTTCATCCTCTCAAATCTGTGCAAGGTGGAGATGGTCAGATGAGGAAACAGGTCCAGCAGTCAGGGCTCACCGCCAGTATACATAGCCTCAGATTTCTAGGTCCTTTCTGGATCACTGTGAGGCTAGACTGGGCCTCCATTCAGGTCTCTGATCCACCCCTGTGCTCCGGACTCTAGATTTACTCCTCCCTCAACCTTGGTTGTGTCTCAGGGACCTCCCCTTCTCTGCCGGAGTGGCTCTCAGGCCTCAACCCCCTTTCTTCCACCCTTTGCTCTCCTGGGGACCTCTTGTCCTCGATGTCCATGCAACCCGAGAGGGAACCCCTCAGAGATCTCTATGCCTCCGCACAGAACTCCCCACCCACCTGCCCTTGGTGTGCCCCCAACCCTTTCCTCCTGTACCTTCAGACTGAGACCTCGATGGCCGAAACACCCCCGACCATGGTGCTCCGCGTGTCCTTGGTTCCCTCAGTCCCCTAAGCCCCCAACAGAAGTCCTCCAAGTCCACGTCCTTGGTCCGCTGCCAGCCTCCGCTGCGCCCTCGGCGGCCCCACAAGACACCACCACCCCGTGCCCTCGGTGCCCCCGCGCCCACCTTTGATGCTGATGCCCAGCCCGCCAGCGTCGGCCTTGCGCACGGTCACGCGGCGCCGCTGGAGCAGCAGCGCCTCCGGCAGCTGCGGGGGCACCGCTCCCGGCTCCGCGGCGCCGTTGAGCTGCGCGGGCTCCGGCTCCCGGGGGGCGCCGGGCTCGTCGTCGGCGGGGCTCACTGTCAGAGCGTCCTCCGCCAGACTAAGCAGCACCCGCTGCCACCGCTCGCCGCCGGGCCCCGAGCCCGCCCCGGCGCGCAGTTCCAGCAGCCCGGTGCGTGGGGCGCGCCTGCCTGACGCCATCTTCGCCGAGCCCCCGGGCTGCCGCGCTCGCCGGCCTCGCAGTGGCTGGCCGGCTCCGACCGAGCACCCCGGGCAGCGGGTAGGCGGGGGCCGGGTTGGGCCAGTCGCCCCCCCACCTCGGCCCTGGGGGTGGAGTCTTGGGGCGGGGCTTGTGGGTGTGGCTAACGGGGAGGGGCGGGACCACAGGCCGCTTGAGGGAGGCCGGGGTGGGGCCGGGGTGGGGCCGGGGTGGGGCCGGGGTGGGGCCCTGGGGTCCCCGGCCCCCCGGCCCCCAGGCCCCGGAGCCAGGATGGAATGTAGGATTTGGGGGTGGTGTCGTAAAAGGGTCGGGCTGGGCCCAGAGTTAAGGCAGGAGCCGGAGAGGTGCGGGCGAGGGACGGGCCCTAAAGCAGACGTGGCTTCGTGTCAGAGGCGAGACCCCGGGACCCTGCAGGAGAGACGGTGCTCTGGGCGTGGCCGTCGAGGGCCTGGACCATAGCTCACGAACTTAAGAAGAAGAGAAAAAGACAACCATAGCTGCTGGCGCGAGGCTTTGGGCGTCGAGGTGGAGCCTCGTCTGACGGAGCGCTGAACTGCAGAGACGGGGCTTGAGTTTGAAGAGACAGCTACCGAGCCGCAAGGGTCTCGGCAGGTGGGGTTGCGAGTGGGAGAGGTTTAGCTGGAGCTCCTTTCATACTGTGGGGCTGGAAACTTTTATCTGTAGGCGTGGCGTCGTGTGGGGCGTGGCTTCTAAGGCTGGCAGGCTAGCCTAATGGGATGATCGCCTCGCTGGCCCTGTTTAGGACTTGGGAACCGGCTAGACACAGTACCCGCTTCGAAACTGGAAGTTAAGAAATTAACCCTCTGTTCTGTTCACAGCTGAATACAGAAAAGCATGAAATTCCACAAAGACCTGGCAGAAGAACTAGAATTCCTGATGTGAAGGGGGAGGGATGGAACTTGGTACTCTGGGTCTGAGCTTCTGAAGACCAGATTTATGATCCCTGCTCACTGCTCACTCTGTTAGCTTCTCAATTTCCTCACCTGTGAAATGGGAGTCATAATAATCCCTACCCCCCAGGGTTTGTGCCAGGATTAAATCAATATGAAAATGCATTGTTTAGCAGCAGCAGGCTCACTGACTCCAAGAAGGAACTACAGGATTCAAAGGGAAGGGGTTGGGGAGGGTGGGGGGAAAGGGAGGGAGAAGGGGATTAAGGGGCATTTGATTAGCACACATAATATAGGTAGGTCACAGGGAAGGCAATACTGCACGGAGAAGACAAGTAGTGACTATAGCATCTTAACTATGCTCATGGACAGTGACTGCAATGGGGTGTGGGGGGGACTTGATAATATGGGTGAATGTAGTAACCACAGTGTTGCTCATGTGAAACCTTCATAGATTGTATGTCAATGATATCTTAATAAAAAAATAAAAGAAAAAGAAAACGCATTGTTTTGCTCCCCAGCATCTCCACCAGAAAAAAAAAAAGCACTGTAAACTGTCTCTGTAATCAATATAATCACTTTTATTTATTGAATTACTATTGACCAGGCCTAGCTCTGAGCATTTTCATGTGTTATTTAAACTTTACAGTAGCCTCGTGGAGTCGCTACAGTTAAAAACAGTCTCATTATACAGAAGGGAAAACTTGGAATTAGAAGGTCTAATTGGACCAAGTCACACATTTTTTAGTAGGGCAGAGCTGGGATTCAAACCTAGGCCTGTTTGATACCAGAGCCTGGCACTGAACCACTCAGCTAGACAGCTGCCAAGTGCAGAAGTAAGCATGATCATCAGAAAAATCTCACCACATCACACAGCTCAACCAGCCCTCCTATCTGTCCCTGGTCGCCATCTTCCACTCTTAGCTGAGATGTGTTAGGCAACAAATAGGGCCACCAACAATACAGACTCTCTGCACCTTCAGGTAGAACCCTCCACATATGACACCATCAAGGAAAAAAAACTCAGGAAAAGACAGGTACACAGCAAACTTATGTTTGCAAATAACCAGAGACCAAGCTAGTGTCCAACAATATGGAAATGACTCTATACCACTGAAAACCCACTGAGGCCACATACATGATGCATGGTATTATATGCACATACACATATAATACATAAATGCCATTTATTCGGTTTGCTGTACAGTGACATATGACTGGCTGATTCATATACATTGTCATTTAAACCTTACATAAATCCTGTACAGCTGTATGTCATCCTCATTTTAAGAATGAGGAAATTAAGGCATAGCACTCATAACAACAGACTTTTAACCTGGCAGGTTTACAAGCCTATATCTTCCTCCTCTTCCTCCTCCTCCTTCTCTTCCTCCTCCTTTCTGTAGCCCACAAAGGAGCAAGCAATAAGTTTAAAAAACAATTCACTTGTTCATTTATTCAACAACCTTTATTGACTACGCACTACATGCCAGGCAGAGTGCTAGGCGTGTAAACAAAATAGCTGTAGACTAGTATTGTAAATTAGATAGAGTCTTACCTTGCAGGATGCATAGCCCACTGAGAGGCAGAACCCCATGGCTTTGGATTCTGATTTTCTCTGTTCAAATTCTTACTGTGTCCTTTTTTCCCCCCATTATTTTGAGATATAATTGACATAACATTATGCCACTTTCTATCTCTGGGGATAACTTATTCAACCCCTAAGCTTCCATTTCATAATCTATAAAATGGGAATATTAAAATTACTATCCCTGGGATTCTTATAAGGAATAAAATAATGCTGGTAAACTGCTTAGCACAATTCCTGTGCATAGTAAGCATTCAAAAAATATGAGTTGTAATTATCTTGGAAAAGCAGGCATCAATCAAATAGCTTCAATTTATAATAAGTATAGCAGGAAGAACACAAGTAAAAAAAAAAAGACCACAGAGTTTGACATACATAAGACACTCAGTGAATACATGAAAGACAGCGAGAGAGGAAGAAAGGAAGGAAAGGAGGGAGGGAGGGAGGAAGAAAGAAGGAAATAGAGCACTATATATATATATATGCATTGATAATTTTTCCTTTTTGTTTTAAAAGAATTTATTTTGAAGTAATTTCAAACTTATTCACACTAACCAATTAACATTTTGCTGCATTTGTTTTCCCCATTCTCTATTTCTCTAATGCTGTCTTCTGAAATAGTTGAAAGTTACACAGGTCCGCACTAATATTTTTAAGGTGTGACTGTGTTTCAAGCCTGTAGAGCAACCTGAGAAAATTGCAGGTAAACATTTAAAGATAAATGGGAACGACATTCTCCTTGACTTTTGGAAGCTTCACTCTAGCAGTAGAGATGGGAGAGGAGGAGGGATCAGACAGGAGGCAAGAGATCCCGGGGAGGTTAGACTCTTATCCCAGGACCAAAGCCTGGAGCCAGATCCTTGAAAGTCTCCCCACATACTGCCCCGCTTAAAAAAGACTTAATGAGCCCCGGGGACAAACTTGGTGAGAAAGAGCCCTATGGAAGAGTTCCTCCCCAGGGGGAGTGTTTTCTATGGTTTTAATGGGAAGGGAGGAAGGAGAGGAACACGTGTGCAGAATAAGAGGAGACTGGCAGAGAAGAAGGATATACATAGCCAGAGAAAACAGTGATGTGTGTGTGTGTGTGTGAATGTATGTGTATGTATACATGTGCATATGTTTATGTGTAGTGTATGTGCATTTGTGTGTGAGAGAGAGAGAGAGAGAGAGAGAGTGTGTGTGTGTGTGTGTGTGTGTGTGTGTGTGTGTGTGTGAATCATACGGTATGGACAGTGCCAATTAGATGTGCCCCGTCAGCTCACCCCCAGGAACTGGTTGCTAGAGGAATGCCCTACCCCTCCACTGTGGTCAGCTGATGCCTCTCTGCTATGGCTCAGAAACTGGCCTTCCAGACACACACACATAGGCCTGGCTCCCCACCAAACTCCAGGGCAGATCTCCCAAAGGAAACCAGCTCACTCCCAAGTGATAACAGAGGGAGAAGGAGAAAGGAAGGAGGGAGGGGAGCTGCCCAGGTCACCAGTTTCAAATTCACAGTGAAGGCCCTGCAGGCTCCAGCCTTTGGAAAAAGAATGTGGAGCCCTGATAAGACAGGGAGGCTTCTGTGCATGAGCTCCAAAGCAGGGAGCAGAGATTCCTACACTCCCAGCCTCCAAGAACCAGTGATGGCAGCCATCATGAGAATTTACATGACTGACTACTTAACATAATAATGTTTTCCATGGATCATCTCACTTAACCTTCAAGACAATTCTAGGACGGTCCTGCTGTGATCCCCATTAGGCAGATGAGGAAATTGAGGCTCAGAGACATGAAGGTGTAAGCTCAGGTGGTCTGGCACCAGAGCTCACTGTGACACCATACTGCATCCTGAAAGAGGTTTGGATCTTGGTGGAGGGTGGGGGGCTTCCAAAGTCTAAGACTGTGGTGCCCTGATCTATGGAAACCAAATCAGATGCTTCCCCTATGCATCATCTTTTTAATCTTCACTGCAGCCTCGTGAGGCAGACATTATCATCTCCTTTTTGCAGAGGAGGAAACCAAGGCTCAGTGGTGGGAAGGAATTTGTCCATGGTCATACAGCTAATAAATGGCAGAGCCTGAATATGAACCAGGTTATTTCTGATTCCAAAGCTTTGGCCCCTTCTGTTGGGGTATGCTAGGACCCTACTTAAAGTCAACTTTAATTCTTCTTAGAGAATCCAAATCACAGGCTTGTGGAATTCAGAGTAAAGGAATATTAGCATCCTAAATCTTGGTGTTTAGGAGGACAACTAGGCACCCATCAAATGTCACCAAGCCAGTTCCCCCACCCTAACCCAAGCAAGAAGCCTCTTTATATGATCCCTGAGAGCTCATCCTTTATCTTAAGCTTGGATGCCTCCAGAGATAGGAACCTCACCTCTCCATAAAGCAAACAATTTCAGTTAAGAGGTCACTCCCCATCACCCAAGCCAAGGCAGAGAGAGAGAACTAACACTTTTTGATCTTGCTGTCTCTGTGCTGGGAACTAGAGGCTGCCTCCTTAAAAATACCTCTTCAGTGCTCACCCCCTGGGCCCCTGCCCGCACCAGTGAGTTCCCACACCTCAGGTCTCCCCAGCACTGCGTGCCACCCCACCACCTCAGTTCTTGTAGCACAGGTTCACATTAATGATCCCAAGTCTTCATCCTTTCCTGCATCCAAACCATTTGCCATTTAACTCTGCAAGATCCTCCCAGCACTGGAGTTCACTCATCTGACTTGCTTTGACCGCTAGAATGAGAAAGAAGTGTTGATGAGCCACTTCTAAGCCTTGAGAGATGTTTCCAACTAGATGCAGAGGTCTCCAGAGTTCTAAGCCTGGGTCCCTAAATCACTATGTGGATCAGAGCTGCCTGCCAACCAGCAACACCAGCATCTTGAAGCATAGGTTCCCAGCAGGACCAAGCTCCAGCTGCCCATGGAGATCACTTGCTTGAGGACACACCCTCAATTACTCTCATTCCCTTCCCTGTCTCACTTTATGCTCCCCAGTTGTGCTTCCAGGGAGCACCTCCCAATAAACCATTTTCCCTAAAAAAAAAAAAA